CTATATAACATTTTAGACACATTCTAGACAGTTTATCAGCTAAAAAAAGTTAATTTTGGGGGTAAGTTACTCTTTAAATGAAATACAGTATGTCATGACTCATTGTGTGTCATGAAACATTACTTTTCACAAAACGTAATTAGTTTAAAACGATCAGAAATGTTAGCTTGTTGATAAGCTATTAAGCTAGCTGTCACGTTCTCTCGTCCTGACCCCCCCACACACACACACTAGGCGGTGCCCCCCTCCTCTCACCTGCAATGCCCACTGTAGGCATTTTTTTAAATTTTGCTTTGGGGGGAGTTATCCTTTCACGGGGGGTGTCCACTTTAAGGACGGCTTGTTTCACCTGCATGGAGAGCTCCTTTGACCAAATGTTTTCTAAATGCAAGCAGCACATCTCAGATCAACTCCAGGCCTTTTATCTGCTTCATTGAAAATGACATAAATAAGGAACTGTCCACATCTGCCCATGAAATATCATTTGAGCCAATTGTCCAATTTCTATTGGTTCCTTTAAAAGCAGGGTGGGAGCTGAACTCATAAASCCTTCATCCAGTTTTAATGTGATACACTCAAATACAAGCTGAAAGGCTGGACTTTATGCTCATGTCCATTATAAAACTATAACTTGAATATGTTTCAGTAAACAGGTAAAACAACTAACTTTGTGTCAGTGTTCAAATAGATATGGACCTTACTGTCCCAACTGAGYCACCAGAACCCATCTTGTTAAGTGACAGAGCAACAAGCTTCATATTCAGTCAGTAATCAATACCTGAAGCAGTGGTTCATCAATTATTTACAGTGGAAAGACGGCAAAGATACAAGTGAAGTCATTATTAGTAATTAAAAGCCTAGTGTTTCTTCAAGGAGTGCATTTCCCCTCTGTTTTTACTGCCAGAGTTTAAACTAACATATATCTAATGTTGGTGAGAAATTATGAAGCTGTAGTTTAGGGGGGTAACCTTAAAAATAACATTATTGTTGAACTCATGTGATCCCCTGTGATCTTTAATAAACACTTAGCACTTGGAGTTTGTGTGGTGAATAATTTCAGCTTGGCATCTCAAACATTTGCTGAGGTATTGCATTTTATGCAGTATAAGTCTGAATTGTTGTTGTTGAAATGGGTTGACTTTAAAGGTTATTCAGATATAGACATACCTCAGTGAATACTTTCAGTACATTTCACTGATATCTGTTCACTGA